CGCCACCTCGGGTGTCCCTCCCCGCCCCCCTCGCGCCGGTCGCGCCTCGCTCGGGATGTCGGTGCCAGCCAAGCGGTGCGGGCGGCCGCCCGTGCTGTCCTTCCTGGAGAAGAAGAAGAGGAAGCAAAGCCTGGACAGGCGACGGGGGAAGACGAGGATCTACGTGGGGAACCACATCGACCGGTGGCTGACCCTGAAGGAGAAGTTGGATTTCAGAAACGATGCCGAAGTCGCGGGGTTTTTGCTGGACTTGTAAGTGACCCTTCCCCGCGGTATGTTCGCGTGAAGCAAACCCAGGCTTTTCTCAGTGGGTCTAATCCTGCGCCTGTTCCTGTAACGCAGGTACGACAACTATGACCCCCTGTTGAAAACGGCGGTGTGCGCACTGCCCGAGGGTGCGAGAAGCATCGCCGTGAAGGAGGGAAGGTCCCCGCCGCCCGAGGACACTTCTTTAATAGCAGCTGACGGAACGTGAGTGACGGTCTCTCTCTGCGTGGAAGTAACGCAGGAAAGGTTTTTTATCGGTCTTTAATCCCTCCCCAGGCCACTGTTTTCTTTGCCTTTTCTTTAACTTTATTTATTACTGAATCCAGTTCTTAAAATAACAAATCCAGTGTACAAAATAACACATCAAATGTTCAAAAATGCATCCAACCCGCTAAAATATACATACAAACAGGTGCCGATCTCCCACCGAGAGCACTGCCACAACCCAAATTAATATCCATTGAAGCCTTGTGCTCCTGCCCCCTCCCCACCGGTCTCTCTCAGCTCCCCAATGCCTCCATCAATATTTTTTTTTTTTTATTTCTTCATCTCTGTATAGTAATAAGCTCCTTCTTCTTCCCCTAAACTCCACACAGTACTACAGATCCCATATCCTCCACTCATCTCTACCCTCAAATTAATTCCAAATTAATTCCTAAGTGTTAATTCATAAAACTTGCACTTTGGAATTCAAAAATGTTTCTCATATTTTCTGGTTTGGAGCCAGGAGAAGATGCATTTTTAGCAGATTCCAAAAATTTCCATCAGATTTCCAAGTAAATGTTTTTTTGTCTTTTCTCCTGTAAAACACTGATTTGGTAGGACAGCTTTTCCATTTACTAAAACTTCCCAAACTTTTTTAAACCGGTCGGTGATGTTAGGGGTGTCACTTCTCTTTCAGATTTTTTGCAACTGTAATTCTTGCAGCCACTAGAAGATGAATAATCAATTCCCTGTGACACTTGCATGTTGCAGAGTTCTTGGGAAGGTTCAATAGAAACACTAAAAGGTTATCTCTTAATTGATATTATATTGTTATTTCCCTCACCATGTCTCCGTCTTTCCAAAACAGTTTAATTCTGGGTCCCATCCACCACATGTGGTAGAATCCTTCCAAATGACCACACTATTTCCAAAGCATTTAATTTTGAGTGGGGTGAGATGCCATCAATTTGGGACTTCAAAATTATTTTATTTTATTATTGTGCAGATGGGTGTGTGGGGATCATTGTTCCTGATACTCTTCCATTCTTATGCACTAATTTCTCAGCCAAGGTCAACAGCCCACTTTGTCATAAATGGTGTTTTTTCTTCTGTGTTATTAATTAAAATAGCTTTATATAACATAGAAAATAGGTCTGTGTGTTTTATAGGCATAGCCAGTCTTTTTTCAAATTCTGTCACGTTTCTACTGAGGTTTACCTTTCTTTGAGCGTGTGTTGAAAAGTGCCTCAATTATACATATTGGAAAAATGGGATTTTAATGTCGCCTGTAGTATGTTGTATTTCTTTAAAAGATACCAAAATGTTCTATTTAAATGTCCATAAAAGGTATGATTCTAATATTTTCCCAGATTTTAAAGCTTCCTAATAATTTATTAGGATTACATTAAAAATTATTATGTATAAGTGCTAAAGGTGATGGGTATAAGCTTAATTTTTTGATAGTACTGTTTTCTTAATAAATGTTTAAAGAGCACGTCTACATAAGCATCTGCAACTCATTTTAATAATAAAAAAAAAAAGAAAGAAAGGAAAACTCAGGATGTGCATAAAAGTCTGTTGGGTCTACTCACGTTGTTATCTGTTAAGTATAACATTTTAAATGGTATTTCAAAGTTGAATGTGTCCTTTTGGCATGCACGAAGAGATTTAATGTAGAAGTAATTGTTCAATAACAATAGGTATTTTTATGATGTAGATATGGCAACGATGACCAGCTGTCTAAAGAATCTACTTGTTCTGGACCTGAAGATGTGAGAATTGTAACTGTGAAAGAAGAGAGGGATTTGTCAGATGACTGCTTGTCAGCAGAGACAGATGACACGTTAGTGACAGTGTTATTCCTACATGTCTTATGTCTGAAAATATTTTGTGTTGATTTTTCATCACTTTTAATTTTGCTTATTAGAAATTCATCATTCATGTGGTTATTTGTTGTTTAAAAACAACTTGTATGCTATGGATGGCTCAAGTGCTGGGAGAACCTCAGAGATGGTTTGGGAAAGTTGGAAAAATCCTGAGAAGCACACAGCAAACCTGCTTGTCTACTTTCTGCTTTCTGTAATTGCACGTAACATTTTCAGACATAAATATAGCATATCCTACAGATATTTTACAGTGAAATAGTCTGTAGGTCTTGTTACTAAATGCAGTCTGTAGACAAAAAGGATTGTTACACACGCAGTTCATTTTGCTCAAAGGAAAAATATTTCATTGTTGGCTTTTTGAGTGATGTGACATACAAAGTGACTTGTTAACCTATCTAAAAATAGTGCCGTGCTCATGGAGGCAACCACACCATCAGTCGACTGCTGATTTCTTTTACTGCAGTACCACCAGTAACTGAGGCATTCACAGTTGAGATCAAAGGAGCCTCAAATAGGTATGATTGTCCATTACTCTTTATTTAGGTTTCATTTATCCACAACACTGTTACTGAATTATTTGGTCCACATCCTAGTTATCTGATCTTTTTAAAAAATATATTTTTTAATGTGTGCAGGGGGACACTGGGAGCCTAGGACATTACATTGGCATTGCATGGTGTGTCCAAACCCCTCGCTAATATGGTGAAGTATGTAAGGCATGCAGCATGTTTGTCTGAATCTCATTTTCTACTGTTACTCTTTGTGACTTTGCTAACTCTTCTCCCTTTGATTTTTGGCAGGTGAGCATGTGGGGCTTCTGAAAACAATTCTTCCTGTGATGCAGAATTATATTTACAAGCCCGTTGCGTAAAATTAAAGCAAATGGCAAGCTAGAGAAAGGTGACAAACTCAGAAACTTTCGTCAAGATGGCAGTTTTTAAAGTGTGACAGAACTCTAGTTTAGAAAGTAGCCTGGATCTGAAGTGGACGTTCCAGAACTGATCTAGCATGGGTAAGTGAATTTTTTTTATGGATTACTTTGTTTTATGTCCTCCTAATGCTGAGTTTTCCTTCTTTTTGATCTTTCTTTTTGATCCCACAACCAGCCTTCCTCAGTACCATGTGCAGCCTACCTCCCTTGTAGTCCCTGTGGTTGGGTATATTGTAGAGACACCCAAGCAAACTCTGCATATGCTAACTTCAGAAGTATCACAGCCACATTTGAATGATTCTGTGCTGGACAAGCAGCTCTCTTGAGAGGCAGAGCTTAGTTAGGCTGCCTGCAGTATCTACTAAGGCAGCTCTGCTGCTTCCTGTTTCAGGACTGGCTTGTGTCAAGACAGTGCATTGTTCTGAAGGTAATTCTGTAGTGCTGAGGAGTGTTTGAGAGGGCTGGGGCATTGGCTGATCTTACCAAGCCACTATTACATCTGCCCATTTACCACTATTTGAGACTGCTGTTCTAATATGTCCAAAATTCTATGCAGAGTGGTTTAACATCAATTAAGCTTTTTTCATAATCAAGGATTAGGCAAGTATATGGTAGTCTGGTGCCATCTAGCAAATGGCATGTATGTGAAGATGCATGTTGAGATTAACATTAGTTTACTCTGAAGACACGACATGCTAAATACATTTATTGTTAAAAAATAAGCCAGGTTTCTAGATATATGTACACTTCAGGATGTAAAATGAATAAATAGCAGTTAAGAACTAGAAAAGTTGGAAATACAAGCTTTTTTATTATGGAACAAGAATTATTTAAGACACTGAAACTACTGAAGAATGTGTATGTGGATCACTTGCATGGCCAAATATAGTGTCTACAAGTGGTAACATTTAGGTAAGATAAGTAGACTGCTGTTACTTGCAGCAATCTGCAGTGTATTTTTCCTTGTAGTATGCTTGTTGAGGTAGCATAGTACTATTAACCCCATTTTATATATGGGGAAACAGGTATGAAAATTGAATATGCTGCCCAAAGTTAGAGAGGAAAGGTCTCTCAAGGCAGGGAATTAAATCTGAGTTTCCTGAATCTGAAGTTAGCACTCTAATCACTAAATGAGTTATATCAAAGATGGTGGTGAGAGTCTCTCTCAGCTTAGCAAAAAACAGTTTGTTTCACTTGAAAAGGTTGATCCTCTACCTCTTCAGGATATTGTTTTTCTTTTTTGTTTGTTTGAAAGTTCTAAGAATTCAGTTCCGGTTGAAGAGTAAAGGGGGAGCAAGGTCTCCTGCTTCCCTGGGTTTTTGGGTGTAATGTTGTCCTTGAACACTTGAGAGAGAACTCTGTTTTGTGCACATATCTGAAGGCCCAGGAAATATTAATTTATTGTTCCCATAGCAAAGTGCCATGTACTTAGTTAAAGTACTGGTCTGTTTAGTAGTCATACTGCAGTTTGTTTTCCACATACCCTTACTTAGCTAATTAATATTTGTAAACAAATCATTTTAATGCAGCCTTTTGAACAATTGGCACATAGGACTGAAAGAGATCTCATGGGCCACCAAATTTAGTCTGATGCATTTGCAGAAAACTATTTACCAAGGATTCTCCAAATCAACACTTCAGACCCTTGCGCGCAACCGCAAGTCACAAAACAGCACTACGACAGGCCAGAGGTAGAAGCAGGGGCAAAGACTTTGAAGCACGTACAATGAGAGGTGAAATCTTCAAAGCTTTCCCTGGATCTGTGGTAAATCAAGATAGACTCCAATGACAAAAAACCCATTGAGATGAGAAGCTAGCATTTCTGGGATTTAAACCTACAGCATAATGTTAGGTGATTGTATGATGCATACAGAAGAATGCCTTCTGTCTTCATATTTATAAAGACTTATTTTGCTTAAACAGTATAAATGAACACTCAGTTTATTCAGTGAGCATATTCTTGTCAGTGCCCCAGTTATTGAGTTTTTCATTAGGGTAAAACTAAATTTGTGAAGTGAATTGGTCCTCATTATTGCTACTGCTCATGTAGTGACAGTGGTACTATTACAAATCTATGTTTCTGGGCCCTGGTATGTGTTGAAGTTGGACATAACAGTACCTCCTTTAAAAATGGTTGTTGCTAAAGAGTTTTGCTGACAGTTGTGGGTCCTTCCAAGATATACTGTGTACTGGAGGATACTCTTCTTTCCAAGGAGTCTTATTTGTTTGGACAGCTGGAAACCGGTATCCAAACTGGTCAGTTTACAACAGTTTAAACAAAGTTTGGACTATGAGAACACATCCAGTAGAGCAGGGATGTCAAAAATGTGGACCACGGGCTGGTTCCAGCACATGGAGCTCTGTCATCTGGCCTGCAGGGGTCTGGGAGGGGCCCAGGATTTCAGGGGTGAAGTGAACAGGTCCAGGGGCAGATCCGTTGATGAATTCCCAACAGGCTTCTGTATGCAGGCGCACATGTTGGTGATGGAGTAGTTAGCAAGGGGTGCATTAATCTTTGTGGCTAAGGAACCCACAATGGTGAATGCCACCACTCATACCACCACTGGAGGTGAATCTGGATCTAGCCTGTGAGGAACTTCACAGTCCAGATGTGACTCAGGGATCCAAGAATTTGACACCCCTGTATAAGACTACTAAAATGAAGATCATTAAACTGAAGATTAGTAGTCACCATCTATATGCACAGGTTTTTAAATACTTGAATGGGATGAGTTGGAGATTCCTGGACCTAAGAAATGAAAACTGTAATGTAGTTTTAAAGTCTTTGAACTTAATGTTCTGAGATGAATGGGAATAGTTCACACTACTTCCTAAGGGCAAATTTTATATTCTGTTTTTCAGTTCTAGAGGACTTTTTGTTAGTGTCTGCAGTGAGGATTTCCTGAAATTATCCCACCCTCCGATAGAAGAGTTGAGATGATGCATTCAAAATGCTGATAGCCCTTCTAACATGCTGTAGGAGATTTTCCTAGGATGCTCAGTGTAGATAAGGTATACTAGTGGAACCACTGCAGTTCTGACAAGGTTTGGAGGAGCTTGCGTGGGATATGAATACCTCCTCTCACAGATGATTCCGTTGAGGACCCGTGACTACTTTTCAGGGTACCTTTTCACCCTCACACCCTGTGTCAGAGCAAGTGATGAGGAGGGGTCCACCCTGAGGCTGCAGTAGCAACCACAGAGGACCTCTCCTGTGCTGCTGGATAGTGGACTTGTAGGGAGATGAGTAAATTGGTTTGCCTTAAAAGAATTTCTCTTTATAGAACCTGATCACTCAAGCTGCGTGTAGAGCTATGAGTTGAGCACCTCTTGTCACTTTGGATATATTCAGAATAGTAACATGGTTTTGGTTCAAATATGGAAGAGTATCTTTTTAGCCACAGATGCTACACATGGTTTAAAATCATTTAAAAAAAAAAAAAAAATCAGTTCACAAAGAATTGCCTCCTCTTCACCACTGATAAGTCGATTTTTCCAAAACTGACAGTTTTTACCAGCATGCTTTCAGCTGCAGCATTGCCAGTGCCTAATATGGAAATGCTTACTTGAACTAGAATGAACTGATGTAGCCAGTTTCCTTTTTTAGATTATTGTGTTAATATTTTATGTTAGGAAATGTTTACTTATATCATCTACCACTATTTTCCTACTGTAACTTCTGAAGTGAATGTGAGACTATATTTTTTGTTCTTACAGCGAAATAAGGTATTTAGCATACCTTAACTTTCATAGTTAAATTCATTGCTACATTGTATGCTAAACTAAGGAATTATATTGAAAATAAATATTGCAAATATATACTAATATGGCAAAAAGTATTGCACATGAGAGACAAAAATGAATTGTTACCAATTTTCATAATCCAGGAATTGGAAACAAAAATGGTCAAGTGACATTCTGTTACTAAATACTTTTCCAAATATAACTCCTGTGTTAATGATACCATATTTGTATTTAGATTTCTGAAAGTTGCAGAACTAGTATCTTTAATGATTATTCTCATAT